TCATTGTCCAGCTCTCTGATGCATAGCAAGTGATTGCAAAAACCATGGCCTGTATCAGGTGCACCTTACTCTCCAGACTGACATCATTGCTCTTCAGTACTTTGGAGAGGTTTCTAACAGCAGACTTTCCCATCACAATATGTCTTTTAATTTCCTGGCTGCTGATGCCAAGAGTTTTGATTGTGGAGCCAGGCAAACTAAGGCTACTAATAATCTCAATCTCTTCACCATCCATCATGATGCTGCCAAGTGGGCCAGCAGTGAGAATCTTTGTTTTCTTGAAGTTGAGCTTCAATCCATAATGAAAGCTGCAGTCCTTGATCTTATGCAGCAAACGCTTCAGGTCCTCCTCAGTTTCAGCAAGCAGGGTTGTTTCACCTGCATAATGCAGATTGTTGATGAGTCTTCCTCCAATCCTAATACCACATCTCTCCTCATAGAGCCCAGCTTCCTGGATAATCTGTTCTGCATATAGATTGAAAATGTATGGAGGCAAGACACATCCTTGGCATACACCCTTCCCAATTTTTGAACCGTGCAGTGTTTCCTTGCTCTGTTCTGATGACTGCCTTCTGGTCCAAGTATAGATTTTGCATAAGCATGATCAAGTGTTCTGGGATTCCCATTCTTCTCATAGTTAGCTACAGTTTGTTGTGATCCACACAGTCAAATGCCTTTGCATAGTCAATGAAACACAGATAGACATTCCTCTGGTATTCCCTGCTTTCAGCCAAGATTCATCTGACATTAGTTATAATATCCCTAGTACCATGGCCTCTTGTAAATTCAGCCTGCACTTCAGGCAGTTCTCTGTCGACGTGCTGTTCCAGTTGTTCTTGGATAATCTTCAGACAATTTTGCTTGCAACCTCAGTAAATACTATAGTCTTTAAAAGACACCTTTTAATTTAACTCACATGCTAACAGCTATTGCCATGATAACAGCTAACTCAACCAGGTGGATTGGTAGTGACTGCTGCAATGCGATCGAGGATGCAAGTATGTTAGAAATGATGAGGATGGCATAGGTTCAGATCAGTTGTTCAAGGCAACATTTAACAAAAACAACATCATCCTTCTTTATCAGAAAAGGCTGCCCTGCTTGACAAACTGTATCCTGAGTTGCTCTTGATCCTAAATTTGTAGCCTCTTACTTCTCTAATGAACAGCCTAACTGTTACATTGTGATCTGTGAGTGCTGGCTAATCATTGCAACAAAGTATCACACCCAGCAGAGAAGTTAAGGCACTCCCAGGGAGGGAAGGCTGGTGTGAGTACCTGGTAAAAGGCTGACAAAAAGAAGGCATTTCTGCTCTCAGCATCCTGAGAATCAGCCCTTGGGCTATGAACGCAATAACAACTCTCCTCTTCCTCCATTGTGAATGGAGAGGCTGGGGCGGGGGTAGTAGTGATGTCAGTTGGAGGACTAAGGTGCGTCTGATTCAGGCCATGGTCTTTGCTATTACTTGCTATCTGAGAGCTGGACATTGAATAAGGATGACAGGAAAAGAACTGATGCCTTTGAGCTGTGGTGTTGGAGAAGACCACTGAACATCCCATGGATGCCCAGGAGAACAGATACGGTTGGAGAGGGTACAGCTGGAGTGCTCTTTGGAGACAAGACTGACGAGGCTTCACTTCACATACTTTGGACATGTTGCTAGGAGGGGCTATTTCCTGAAGAGGGACATGATCCTGGGAAGGGTATAGGGTCGGTGAAGGAGAGGAAGATCCCCAACCAGGTGGACTGACAAAGCAACTGCTGCAATAGGCTCTTGTATGTCAGTAAGTGTAAGGACGGCGTAGGGTCACTATGAGTCATACTTGACAGCACCTATAACAAACAACAACTCCTTACAGTGACAAGCAGCTTGAAGTTCTTAATGCAGATGATTTTGTGGCTCAAGGCAATGATCAAAGTCCTGGGTTTTAGCATGGTTCTTAGAAAAAGGAACAGAAGAATGGCTCTGTGGTGTGGGTTTTCCCCTCTCCTTCTTTAAAGCAGTCTCATTAGCCTCAAATACTCTTCCCAACTCACATTCATGCTCTTAATGATGTCTGAAATTGTGTTATTGTCTGCATATTAAACGCTTTGTTATCACCACTATGATGCTGTTGAAGTTTGCAGAACAGACTGGCATCCTATGCACCCACTGGTATGTACGCTGTTGGGAGAATTACAAGCTCCAGCAGAACCTCACTCATCCCACTCTCTCTGTGCTTGTTTCTGGGTTATCCCTCTGTCCTTCCCTGCCCATCTTCACAATCCCGTGTGGCTGTTTAGTGCTGAGTATCCCCCAGATCTTACTGTTCCCCTTATGTATCAATTATTTAGCCCAAGGAATGCTGATCTGCACTCAAAGGGCGGTTTAGGACCATTGTTTCCAGTTCTGTCAGGCCAGGAAACCTGGTCATGGTGGTTTTGAGGGGTTTTTTAAATTTTCAAATTTACTTTTCTTTTCTTGTTGTATACCATCAAATAGAATCCAACTGGCACAGAAGGACATTGCTCCTCCTTCTCCAGCAAACCATCTGGTGGATTTGAACCGCATGCCTCTGGGATTGCAGTGCAGTTTATTGCCACGAGGCCAATAGAGCTCCCTGGTGTTTTTTTTGTTTTGTTTTGTTTTTAAATTTTTTCCCCCCTGGTGGTTATCTGTTTTTCTCCCACGCAGAGGACCTTTCGTTGTGTTCCGCACCCCCACCCCAAGCAGTCAGCAGTGGTAGCCGGGCACCATCTAGTTCTTCCGACCTCAGTCATGGATGCTGAGGGTCAGGAGGTCCATTGGTGCTGTGGACAAATGATCTCCATGTCTTTGTCTTCACATTTCTTGGCTCGGGATAGAGCAACAAACGGATGCTCAAAAGCTTTTAAGCTCCAAGTTGCTACTCACCAATGTAGAGCACAGAACACTGTCCTTGTGTACTTGTTATTGTTAGGTGCCGTCAAGTCTGACTCATAGTGGCCCGATGAACAACAGATCTGAACCCTGTCCTATCCTGTGCTTTCCTCAGTCTCTGACACACTCCAGCCCACTGCAGCTGTCACTGTGTCAATCCACCTGGTTGAGGGTCTTATATCATGATCTTGGAGTCTTTGAGCCTTGAGGCCCCACATATCCACCTGTTTTAAAAATTTCCCAGATAAGGCTTTCAGCCTGTTAGAGCAAGCATCCTCAGCCTTTAGACATAGCCTGTAACTGCTACATCTGCTTTCTAAATAAAACCTGTTGTCCTAAGAGTTGGTGACACAGAGCGAGCCCTTCAGTGAAATTGGGTGACACCGGGTTACAACAATGAGCTCAAAGACAGCAGTGACTGAGGACAGCTCAGGCTCAGGTAGTGTTTCATTCTGTTGTAATGGGTTGTAATGAATCACAATCACTTGACGATACCAAACAGGCTGAAGCGCCGTGTCCTTTGGGGGCCCCTGAGTCAGGCATTCCCAATGTCGCTCAGGAGAACGGCGTGTTCAAGCTGCTCCCTAGACTGTAAAATGAAATAAAGACACACCTGGAGGCTCTCCAGAAGGATCAGGACAAATGGGTATATCAAGTCTCTGACATACAGAAAACTGTCAGGGGATGAGGGAGGCCATGTCACGCAGGACAAGATTCCAGAGGACAGCTGGCTTAGGTGGGGCACCTCCTCCCATCCTGAATCCAGACAGAACACAGTTGCTGTCACACGCACTTTTATTAAGTACGGAGAACTGGTTACAACATAGGCGGAGGTGGCAGGAGGCCCGGCCCCACCCCCACCTGCACACAATAAGAAATAAATAGTTGGGGCGGGCATGGGGAGAAGTGGTACAGCCCACTCTGGGGAGCATGTCTCCAGGCTGTGGTCACCACCAACACTGGGCTGTCATGAGGGGAGGGAACGGCTCCCAGGTACAGGGGCCCCAGACATCACCTCCGTGGAGAAGGGGGTCTTTGGAACTTGGACCCTTGCTTAGCCACTGGAATCTGGAACCCCAGCTGGTCCAGTCAGAACCAGGTGATCAAGAAGTCAGTGTTCCCTGGAATTGAGTAATTCAGCTCGGCATCTACACCAATGGGTCATACCAGTTACTATTCTGATTGGTCCATTCAGGACCTATGACAGAAAGGAGCATCCCAGGGTTCTATCCTGATTGGTCTACTTAGGACCTATGACAAGAAGGAGCCTTATCACTCAACCTTCTGATTGGTCTACTAAAGCCCAGGCTCCCTAAAAAAAAAATAATAAAAAAATAAAAATTAAAAAAAAAAAATAAAGCGCAGGCTCACAAGGTTCTTATCTGATTGGTCCACTTAGGACCTATGACAGGAAGGAGTCTCATCACTCAGCCTTTTGATTGGTCTACTGAGGCTCAGGCTCCCAGGGATCTGTGCTGCCTCTCAGGGACCTCATGTTCATGAGAACTGCCCCAGAATGTCTAGGGGAGCCGACTGCTAAGTCTTTCCCCCCATGGAGCAGCTGATAGGTTCACTGTCAGTCTTTTAGTATCTCTGCAGAGCACTCAATCACTGTGCTACCAGGGCTCCTTTCAGGGCCCCTCAGAACCAATGTGAGTGAGGGATCCAGCATCACTAAGCCTTCTGGTTGGTCCACTCAGGGCTCATAATGGTTTATGGTTACCAAGACCTTTGATTGGTCAAGAGGAGCAAGAAGCAGGCAGAGGGGGAGAGATTCCAGGGGGTTGAAGTGCTCAGGGTCTGGAGGCTCTTCAGTTGACACCAGGGGAGTTGGCAGGTCAAGAAATAATGGACATCTGGCTGGAGAGCCTGGGTGAACCTGTAAGAGGAGGGAGAGTGGCTTCTGCGACAGAAGAGTGCCCGGCCATTGCTGGCAGGAAGGAGTGTGGGGTCCCAAAAACCTTCCCCAAGTCCCAGCCTCACCCGGTGCAGGCACTGGGGCTGGAGAGCTAGAGGCGCTGAATGCAGCCGAACCCATAACCTCCACCTATGGGGACCAGGGTCTGGGGAGGATGGGGCAGAGGTCACAGCTCGGGCAGGCTCAGTCCTCCAACCCCTCCATCAAGTCTGCAATGGTCTCCACGTAGTAATGGGGCACCAGGTCGAGCTGGCCGGCTGCCAGATGGGCCTGGGCCTCCTCCAGGCGGGAGACCCCGGTGAGCGTGAGCACTGTGGTCATGCCGCAGCGGTGGCCGAAGAGGATGTCAGTCTCCAGGCGGTCGCCCACCATGAGCATGCGGGCGGGGTCCACGGGGAAGTGCTCTGTGATGCATTCGAACATGTACGGGCTGGGCTTGCCCACCACCACGGCCTGGCGCCCCGAAGCCGTCTCCACTGCAGCGGCCAGGCTTCCGGTCCCTGCAGAGAGAGCAGAGGCTTGGTCAGAGGTCTGAAACTGGGCAGTGCATCCAAGCTGGGGGAAGGGAGTGGCCAAGTGTATAGATGCGGTCAGGCCACTTGACTCCTGTGCCTCAGTTTCCCCCCTCTTTAACATGAGGATACTAAACCATCAGTATATGTTTCCAAGGAATAGCCTCTCCTCACAACAGAGTGAGACGAGGCCTTATCATCTTTGATTCTCAGGAACACGCCGGTTGCACTTTCTCCAAGACACCGGTTTGTTCTTTTGGCCAAAAGAACATGGGATGTTTGGTGCCCTCCTCCAACATCAAGCTCAAAGGCATTAATTCTGTCATCGTTAGTCACTGTGCAGCTCTCAGATGCCTGACTGAAAAAGACCATGGCCTGAAAGGGACACAATGCTTGGAAAGGTGGAGCCTTGGCAAAAGAGGCTGAAGACGCTCATTAAGACAGGAAACAGCTCATGTGTGACAGAAATGATGAGGATGACACAAGACAGAACAGGGTTCAGATCTGTTGTTCGTGAGTTGTACTCAACGAGACACTGGGTCACTGAGTCATACTCTATTTGACAGCCCCCAACACCACCACACCAGACCATCCTTGTGGTATGCAATCAGACTTGTGGCAAGCCCCTGTGTCAACAGATGCATGATGCCAGGCCTTTCTTCCATGGTACACTATATTGTCAGGAGGGGCTGATCTTTGGAGAGAGACATCATGCTTGTTAAAGTAGAGGGTTAGCCTCACCACCATCACCATCACCAAAGAGCTTTCCTGAGGGGCTTCTGTCAGCACCCTTCTGCCCCACCCTATAGACTAGACAGGTGCACCAAGTACAGAGGTGGGTGGTTCTTTCTATTTCAAAAAAGCAAAAGATCAAAAAGTTGAGAGAACCCCATTCTTTACTGTCTAACCACATACAAGCTTTCCCAATATCTGTAGCTGTCTTATCCATCCCAAGTGGAAATCAAGTTGAAGCCACTAAAAAAAAAAAAAAGTCGAAGATTAGCCAAAGAGAGGGAGACCCTCAACAAATGACCACAACAGTGGGTTTGAGCAAGGCAAAGATTGTAAGGAAGGTGCAGGACAGGCAAGGTTTCCATCTGTTGTTCATAGGGTCACATGAGTCATAGTTGACTTGACTACACCTAACAGTAACAGGTCTGTCCTGGAGAGAGTGAAACCAAGTTTCTCCTAGGAGGTGAGGATTTTGAAGCTCCATCTCACATACTTTGGACATGTGGCCAGGAGGGACTGGTCCTTGGAGAAAGACAGCATGCTTGGAAGGGTGGAAGTCACAGGGGAGGACGACCTCAGATGAGATGGATTGGTATAGTGACTAAGGCAGTGGGAGTAGGTGTGTCGGAGTGAGACTGGTTCAGGACAGGGCAGGCTTCAGAGCTGTTGTATACAGGGTCACTGTGAGTTGCAGGGGAATCGACAGCACATAACAACAACTGTAACAGTAACAGCTGGGTGAGTCTGAACTGCCAGTCTTTTGAGGATACTGATGGCATTTGTCTCGTGAGGTTGTAAGCACAGAAAGATGACTTCAGGCAGAGCTCTGAGAACAGGCTGGGCTCATCATCCTGCCCAGTGCTGTCTTACAGCTGTGCCTCTGGGCGAAGCACTCCTTGCACTCGCTGCAAAAGGGGCATCCAAGACAAGCCTGCCTTGAAGCGGATCATGGGGTTAGCGGTCTGGAAACGGGACAAGCCCTTGGCCAACAGCGGTGTGGTTGCTCCTGGCATGGCAAGCTGGCACTGCCTCTTTGGAACCCAGTGGGACACAGAAAGGTTTGCACCTCTGACCCAGTCGACCTCTGCACGGGCAGGGATCATGAGAGAAGAATTCACACTGGAGACAAAAATGCTACATGCTTTAAGCTGTCTGCGGCGGCAGAAACTACCAGGAAAATTGTGGAAGACGCCCAGATGTCTAACAATGGGAGAGCTGTTTAGGGAGGGATGGTCCTGACTCCCAGCCTGGCATCATCCTGACTCACACAAAGGGTCCACTGTGCCGGCTGCAGGCGTGTCTGCGCCAGGGTTATGCCTTCGTACTAATGTGTCTGGATAAATGATGATAATCATCATTAAGGAAGCACATTCTAAAGGGTCAGAGGCTGTGCTGGGAGCACTGGAAGCCCATTACACAGATGGCAAGACTGAGTCTCGGTCAGGTTAAGAAAGTGGCATATAATTAAGGGCCACACAGCGTGGTGAGTGGCAAGAAAGGGAGTTGCCCTCGGGGTGTGACCCTATCATGGACTGGTCCAGGCCCCAGAGATGCTGGCCACTTCATTTTCAAGAATTTTGTCGGGTTGCCTGTTAACTGCCACTCTTTTTAAATTTTTTTTTAATTATTATTTATTATGTGTGTACCATCATATCAGATCTGACTGGTACAGGAGGAGATTGTCGCTCCTTTTCCAGCAGAGCATCTGGTGGATTCGAACTGCGTACCTCTGGGTTACAGTGCAGCTTCTTGCCACTGGGCCACCAGAGCTCCCTTAACTGCCACTCTTAAAAAAGAATGTGCTCATAAAGACTTACGATTAAATGAATAATTTCTAGAACAAAGGTAATACACTTTCAACATGCACCATTTGCTAATGATTTTGTCACATACTTGGGAAGAAACTGCGCTGCCAACCCAAAGGCACAGAGTTTGAACCCACCAGTGGGAGACAAGTGAGCCGTCTCCTCCCATGAGCATTACGGCCTCTGAAAACCAGCTGGAGGGTCAGCTATGAGTCAATTCTGACTCAATGGCACACAACAACCATAATCTAAACTTCTGAGGTTTCTCATAGTATATATATATATATATACACACACACACACACACACACGTGTGTGTGTATAGTTGTTGATTGCCTTCAAGTCGAGCACAACTCATAGTGACCCTAAGAACAAAAGGCCTGAAGTCCCTCTACAATTTTTATTGACATTTATCAAAGTTCATAGATTTTCTGGAGGCATGCTATTTAGGAAGTGGATGCCACTCCTGCTTCTAAACCTGTGATAGTATGTTATTGTTGTTATGTGCCATTGAGTCACCTGCAATGTACAGCGACCCTATGGACAGCAGCTCTGAACCCTGCCCTGTCCTGAGCCAGTCTCATTAATTCTGACAAACCAACCCCCATTGCCCCAGTTACTGTATCAGTCCATCTCATCTGGGGTCTCCCTCTCCTGTGCTGTCCATCCACCCTTCCAAGCATGATGTTCTTCTCCAAGGACTGATCTCTCCTGGCCATGTGCCCAAAGTAAGTGAGGCAGAGCTTCAAAATCCTAGCCTCCGGAGCTCTGGTGGCCTAGTGGAGGGAGGCTGTGCTGCAATCCCAAAGGCTCACAGTTCAAGACCATCAGATGCTCCACTGAAGAGGAAGGGGCAATCGCCTCCTATGCCAGTCACAAGAAAAAAAAATTAATAATAAAAAAATAGAAATCCTAGCTTCCAAGGAAAGACTTGGCTTCACCCTCTCCAAAACAGACCTAGTTGTTTTCTTGTCAGTCCATGTTTTGTTCAAGACTCTTCTCCAGCACCACAACTCAAAGGCATCTATTCTTCTTCTGTCATCCTTAGTCATTGTCAAACTCTCTGAAGCATAGCAAGTCATTGAGAAAACCATAGACTGGATTAGGCGTTCTTTTGTATTTAAACTGACACGGTTGCTCTTCAGCACTCTGGAGAGGTCCATGACAGCAGTTTTTCCCAAAGCGATTCGTCTTTTATTTCCTGACTGCTGGTGTTAAAGAGTGTTGATTGTAAATCCAAGCAAGCTGTAATTGTTAACAATCTCAATCTCTTCACCATCTATTATGGTGCTGCCAATTGGCCCAGTGGTGAGAATCTTTGTCTTCCTGATGTTGAGTTTCAATCCATATTGCTTGCATACACACACACACCCACACCCCATATATATGTGTATAGAATCACATGTAACAATCACAGAGGGTGCTAGTTTGAGTCTCTCCCAACTTCAGGTTCAGTGATTCAGCCTCACTGGGGGTATTTACACCACAGGAAAGGGCAAACGGTCCAGAGCAAGCCTCTCTCCCAGCTGGTCACTCAGCTTTGATAAGCAGAGCACTGACTGAACCCCGTTGGCAGCCTCTCATTCCCAGGGGATGACACTTAGTCTCGCTAGAGAAACAGGAGAAAAGGTGGCCATGACTGACATTCTTCAGTCCTGAGGAAACAGATAAGGAGTGACTTGCCCTTGTCACAGGACTGGACAGAAGTGGCTTCCAGGTCAGCTCCCAGTCACCCCTCAGGGAAGTGCTTCCTGACATCTGACCTGGAACTCTCCTCTCTGCTCTAAGGACTGGGTAGGGAAGGAAAGCTTAGTTTAGAGATTCCTTCCAGGGCAGAGAGGCTCTGACCAAGACCCGCCAGTGTTCTCAGTCACTAGAGCCTGTTTCCACCAGGACAGAGCCGGCCTCCAGGGTGCACTTCAGTCATTCAGCCAGTGTTTACGGAGACTGACCACAGACACTTTGGCAGGCTGGCACTCAGCCAGGCACCGGGGCAGTGCAGGGAACATGACAGACAGCCCGACCCGGGGAGTGCACATCCTAGCAGGGGGCCTCTCAGCCCTTTAGCCTGTTATCGCCACGTTCCCTGGTCCAAGACTGCCACATGGATGCCGGTGACGTATTCCGAAAAGACAGTGGGCATTTCTATTTGCCAACTCGAGCGGCTGCCATGTGGCAACAAGATAAACACAACTCATAATTAAAGAGTTCCATGTGTTGGGGGAAGCCTGCGGGGGGGGGGG